GCTGTGGAAGGGAGAGCTCACAGGGCAGAGTTCTGACCAGGGGATGCGCATGGCGTCGAGGGTGTCGACGTAGAGAATGTTGAGGCCGCTGCCTCCGTCCATCAGCACCTTAGTGAGGCGCTTCTTGCGGACGATGGGGTCGACGACGAGCGGGTAGCGACCTGGTCGGGCGACATGGGAAGGATGGTCTCTCTGATCAAAAGTGATCGGGGAGTCCTACCAGCTAAGGAAAGAGGGGATGGCTGACTCAGCGGCGCATGCCTCTGTGTAGTGTAACTTTGTGCTGGCGGTTGGAGTGGATGGCATCAGATCCCCCAAAGATCATGAGGCATTCCTCAGGGTCAGGGAAGCCATCTTCATCCTTATCCGCCATGCCTCCTTTCTTGGCCGCCTCCTTCTTGCCTTTCCCTTCCTTTGGCTTGCCAGCTTGCCACAGAAAGCGCTTGAGGAGCTCGCAGTCCTTGTAGAGGTATTTGACGGGATAAGCGTGATTATTGCATGGACTCTCCATGAGCTTGTCGAAGTGGTCGGGTTGGCCCTGCTGGGGCAGCTTGCCCGCGTAGTCGGTCGCGTCGACCAAAGCTGGGTTGGCCAGTCAGTGCCGATCCCTCTTGTTCTTCTAGCCCTTTTATGTGGAGGGGCCCTCGCCTTGGTCCTCGCGCTTGGCCTTGCCCCTATCCTGACCGCCGCTGAAGACCGCCCCGACCGCCTCCTTGTCGGAGGTGTGATTCGTGGCGATGCCAAGTAGGTCGCGGGTGGTACGGGGCTTCACACAGCCGAGCTTGTGGATCAGGGACTTGAGGTTGTCCTAGAGAGGAACGAGCTGACGACGTCCACATCGACGACATCAGGCAGGGAGTTGAACTATTTTGAGAACCTATGGATGTAATCTCGCAGGGACTCGTTGGGCTCCTGCTGGCAGCTCTTGAGGTCCTAGGAATTCCTAGGATGGACATACGTCCCCTGGAAATTTCCAACAAAGACCCTCTTGAGACCTGCCCAGTCGCGGATGCTGTCGGGTGGAAGGAATTCGAGCCATGCTCGAACATGCTCCCCTACGCAGATGGGGAGGTACTAGATGATGAAGTAATCATCATCCACTCCTTCGGCTCGGCAGGCGAGCCGAAAGTCTTCGAGCCATATACCGGGGTTCGTCTCCTCGGTGTACCTGGCGATGTTAGTGGGAGGTCGGAAGCGTTGTGAGAACAGTGCTTTCTGGATGTAGCGACCAAAGGCCCATGGCCCTAGGCTGTCCGGGCTAGGGCTCTGGTCATTCGGTCGGCCGCCATGCCTAGGGTGTGTATCCTTGCACTCCTCGATGGTCAAGCCAGGGCCCGCGTTGCCTGCTCTCACCGCCATTTCATGGGCATCATCGTCGTGCCGAGCGTGGTGTCGATTGTTGATGACGCTGTGAGCATCATGGTTCGGCCCGAGCCATTCGCACATAGGTGGTCGGTGTGGAGCGAGCGTCGGGACAGGCTGCGGTGCAGCCATGGCTTCCTGCTCCACGCCCAGCAACTGCTGCGGTGAGTGGACGGAGCGATTCGACTGGTGTGGCCCCAGTCCCCCGGTTGGCAAGAGGCCGTGAGCCAGTGTCACGACGTGGAGCTCTCTGCCTACTGAACGGTGGCGGTCTCCACCAGCGCCCGGAGGTTCTAGTGGATTGCCTGCTCCTAGGGGTCAGTAGGCTCGGGGACGCCGCGCAGAAGCATCGCCGCAGCAGCGATGTTCTGGCCAGCCTGAGCAAACTGAGGGGGGTCGTTCCCTCCATCTTGGATGTTACACTAGACCTGACGGGTGCGACCCTGAGCGCTGCTCATCGTGTTACGTGCATGTCGCATAGCGTGCTGCATCGAGCGCGCCAGCACAGGTGGTGGCTGGCTCTACCGTCTTTATCGTAACTCCTCGCCGTGCTCCTACGCACGCGCCAGGGCCTTCACATGGCGGTCCGGAGGGGTGTGAGTGTACAGAGACTCCACTACCACCAGTGGCTGTCCCGAGGCGTCCGCCATAGCACACTCCCGAGACAAAGGTTGGCCAGGTGCCACGACGTCGCCAATGCTGGAGCCGTCGCTTTCGACCTCGTCATCGACGAGGTCATGGAAGGAGGCGGGAGCGTAGCCCGCCATCCCCACGAACTCGGAGGTGAGAGGGGGCGGCGTCAGCATCCTTCGGAGCCCCCGTGCGCACATGTCCATGGGGGACGTGAAGCCGTTGGGGAACCGGTCGCACGGCGGTCGTGGTGGGGACAACGGGATCCCTCCGGAGAGTCGGCGGAATGTGTTAAATAGTGAGTGAAGAATAATATGTACATCACTCACCGTGGGGTTTGAGGCCAGCATGGGCTCGAGGCGAAGCGCGAGTGTCTCGACGTTGGGGTCGTCGAGTGGCCCGAGGCCGGTGGAGGGCGCTCCTCCTCCAGTGGACGTCGGGACGAGTGCCTCCTCGTGGAGGCGGACTACGCCGAGCTGGTCGGCGATGAAGTCTAGGCTTCCGAAGAGGAAAGTCTAGAGTGGCTCGAAGACGGGAGGAACCCACATCCCAAGAGGTGGGAGCGTGGGAAACACCAGCGAGCTGAAGCGAATCATATCGTATCGCTCGAGCCCACCATGTCGAAGATGGTGGAAAGGTGGGCCATCCGATGACCAAAAACGTGAACACATGGCATCCCCCCCACGGACGGTGCCAACTGTCGGTGCGAAATGTGGCCGACAAGTAAATATTTGTAGTTTTGTCGCGCGTTGTGATCAGATGTGGCCTAGCACTCATTGAGACAGGATTTATACTGGTTCAGGCAATGGGCCCTACGTCCAGTTGAGGTCGGTCGGTGACTTTATTCCTGAGCCCAGGTGATCAAAGTTTGCTGTGGGGTTACAAACGAGTAAGGAATGAGAAGGGGGTGTTAGTGGCCCGGTCGGACTCTGAACCCCATGGCCAAGAGTGACGGGGGCTCTAACGTATACTGAGTATTGGAGCGTATGCTCTGTGTGTCTCTAGAGCTGTTGAGCTGTTGTGTTCTTGAGTTGTCGAGAAAGTCTGCGAGCGAGCGAGAGAGAGAGAGAGAGAGAGCGAACGAGCCAGAGCGAGAGCTAGCCTCCTTTTTAGGAGAGAGCGCATCCCCTTTTATAGTTGAAAGGGATGACCTCATAAGTCAGAGAAAAAGAGAGAGCGTATACGTGTGTTGCCTAGTCTTGTTGCTCACGCCATCGGGTATGGGATGCCTGCCAGCGCCCATAATACTGTTTATGCCCAGACGCGTCTAGCAGGCTCTACCGTGTTCGCCTGCTACGGTAAACGACGGTGCCCACAACACTGTTTATGCCCTAACGTGTCTGGCAGGCTCTACCATGTTCGCCTATCATGCCCCGACGACACCGTCCTGTGGGTGCACAGGGCATGGCAGGGTACGGTCCTCGGTATTACGGTTGACTTGAGCGCCTTATATTATCTGCTCCGCCTACTCCCTGGACCCACACCAAGCGAGCATCCCTGATCGGTTGCTCCCAGTTGGCCCCGACCGTGTCGGTAGGGAAAGAGCAACGAGCAAAGGTCCGGCGTATCCTCGGTCCGAGAAAACGGATCGGAGTTGGACTGTGGTTCCACCAAGGCCAGGACTTCTGGTCGGGGTCACTCAGAGGTCGGAACGAGGCGGAGCACGAACCCAAGGGGTCGGGTGAGGCGGAGCCTCCGACCCAGAGGTCGGGCGAGACGGAGCCCCCGGCCCAGAGGTCGGACGAGGGCGGAGCTCGAACCCAAGGGGTCGGGCGAGGCGGAGCATGACACCGCATAGTGGATGATGGAGGCTCGCCATTCAACCGTGGCTGCAGATGTGCGCCGAGAAGACGTCGTCCAGCCTGCGGAGGCAGTGGGGACCGGATTGTGTTCTTAGCCCGTTATTGTGTATCTGGGTCAATCTAGACGTGTGCTGTCGTTGCGCCGCCTGCTGGGCCGAGTTTTATAGAGAAACGAGTCCATTGGGAACCCTGGATTTATGAACCCAACACTGTACTGCTAGGAGGCAGAACAGAACACAAGATGCACTCACGTAACAAGCTAAAGTAAATAAACTAATCAAACAATGAAAGGCTAATGATGGCTTGAATAGTTCGTTCACTGTTGCTTGAAATTGACACATCACAAAAGAGATGGAATTTATCCCAAGCTGCTACTACTGCCGTGTGCTAGAGAGACAAGAGTAAGGTCTGAACTCTAAAGCAACAAAGACACGAAGTGTAGCTTCTAACATTGAGATGCAGGATTCATGACAATCGGCTAAACAGATGAAGCAAACACTGATTTGAGCAACGATTAGCAAGAAATAAAAATGAACTGCTGCTACACTAGTTACTGTCACCTCCATTTTTTTTTTGCCTCGAATACGCAAAAGGTTTGCACATCTTTTCGTATGAAGTAAGAGAATGTTTTACACAACGTGCCTTGAAAACGCGCTAGGGAGTAAGTGATTTTACATTTTGGCATAGCCTCCCTAGCGAGGTATTCGAAGCCGACTACTCGCGTTCCAAACAACCTAGGTTACACGCCCCGGCCGCAACCCATTAATTGGCGACGTGCTTGATGATCGAAAGCACCTGGGGTATACTGGAGGCGGTGTCGCGAAAGCATCTCGCGTTCCACTCTTTCCACAGTTCCCACGCCACCAGTGCGAAGAGGGAGTCCGCTCCCTTTCTTCTTTGGCCAATCCAGCGCTGTCTCCATGCGTCCCACCAAGCTAGCGTACGCACATTGTCACGACGGGCTGCGGCATTTAGCCCGCGCACATTCCAGCATAGGACGGTTGTGTTATCCATCGAACAGTGCAACCTGGCTGCGGGTGGACATCTAGGCGCGTGTCGCGCCGAGTCTCCTCGGCCTAGCCGGCCGGTCCGTTTCTGGGAAAAGCTCCCGCATGGCCTCTGCGTGCGACGGATTCAGCTTGTCAACGAGATGCTGTCGTAAGCTTCAACGGCCGTCCACGAAGGTCTGGATTGCCGAGCCACTTCATGACGAGAAACTCGCCGCGCATGGATGCCTGCACTGTAGACAGCGGCTGTGCCGTGATCCATCGGCTCCGCGTTGGCAGCCTGGTCGAGGGCTGGTCTTGTACCTTCGCTGGCAGCAGCGGCGATGCAGCTTTGCGCAGGATACGTTCGGTGAAGCGCTTTAGCTTTCCGGCGGCCGAGGTTCCGCGCTGCTCACTGGCCTCCGCCGCCACGGTCTCTGTGGTAGCTGCTTCATCGCCCATGGCTGTGGGCTGGGTGGCAGCTGGGCTTGCCGGTGGCCTTTGTGAAGCAGACTCGCTCATGGGCGCAGGTGATGAAATGGGCTGGACAGAGCTGTCCGTCACATCCCTGGCATCTTGGGCCTGGTCATCCCCGGCCTTGTTTTGCTTGGTAATCGCCTGGGCTTCCCCATCTGGGCGGTGCCCATTTTCTGGACTGGAACAATCCTGCGTATGCTCTGGGCTGTTGGCTTCCTCTGGCAGTGGTTCTGGAGCCGTTGCGGGCGCCTGCGTCCCTGGCCCTGCTTCCAGTATCATAGGGTCTGCATCGAGATCCCGCACGGCGTCGAAGGACAGGGACCCGAGGCAGACGATGAGGCTATCATCCTCGATCCTGCCGCCACCAGATTGGGGAATGGGCGGTTTTCAGGTGACGCCTGACCAGCCTGTTGCTTGATTTCTGGAGTGGCATTTTGAATCTGGGGTGGGACCGGCACTCCAGCCTCATGGCGAGCAGTCTTCGGTCGCCAAACCGCCATGGCGCTGCCCTTCTTTTGCTTTTGACGTCATGGCTGACGTTTCTGGTGACGCTGCGGGCCCGCTGCGACTGCCCCGAACGGCGTGTGCTTTATTAATCATTGCAGGTGTCAATTAAGTGCATCATGCGTCATTCCAAACCGCCGGCGAAACTCAACATGGTTGTGGTGTTGCCTCTGTTACTGCTGTGTTATGGAGTCAGCTCGACAGTTCATGAAAACAACAAAGATTTTCAGTCATAACTCGAGTTCAAGAAAGGCATCCTCGACCATAATGGAGCCATGAACAATTGGAACCCGAATACCCACTTCTGTTGGTGGTATGGTGTGAAGTGCACCTCGACGCGGCGGCCATTACGTGTCACGCAACTCAACCTCTCCAGCAAAAACTTAGCTGGCAATATCTCTTCCTCTCTTGGAAATCTGGCCTTCCTTGAAAAGCTTGATCTATCGAATAACAGCTTCTATGGCCCCATTCCTGACGCACTCACAAACTGTTCCAACCTAGCCTATCTGCTTCTCTCTAGAAACCACCTCACTAGTGTTATTCCTCCTACAATAGGTTTTCTTACCGGTCTAAAACGTGTCATCCTTGACAGTAATTATCTCACTGGGGGAATCTCAGCAGCCCTCGGAAACATCACCAATCTACAAATACTCAGTTTTACACAAAATCAACTGACTGGAAGCATTCCGCAAAAGGTTATGCAAATGCCAAATATATTGGAGTTGTACCTAAACCAAAACAACCTATCAGGTGGAATTCCTGAGGTTTGGCAGATGCCAAACACAGAGGTGTTAGACCTAAGCCAAAATAACCTAACAGGTAGATTCCCACAAGATCTATCTAGTGTATCTTCTCTTCAGGAATTATCCTTGACATCCAATATGCTAGGCAACACATTACCATCTAACATTGGTTGTGCTCTACCTAATCTCACGATTCTACTGTTGGCAAGCAACAATTTTGAGGGTCCCATTCCAGCTTCCCTAGGAAAACCTACAGGTCTAGGAACAATAGATATATCAGACAATCGTCTCACTGGCCAAATCCCAAACTCTTTAGGAAACCTCACGGTGCTTTCTTATCTTAACCTTGAAAAAAACATGCTTCAAGCAACAGACAATGAAGGTTGGGAATTCCTCCATACCCTGGGAAATTGTCGTTCTCTATCAGTTTTTTCATTGTCTCATAATAACCTACAGGGAACCATACCAAATTCTATTGGAAACCTATCCATCAGTCTTACACGGTTGCTAATGTCTGAAAACAACCTATCAGGAATAGTTCCCCCGAGTATTGGAGAACTTAGTTCCTTATTTCAACTATCTCTAGATCATAACAATCTTACCGGTACAATTAAAGAATGGGTCGGAAATATGACAAAACTAGAACTTCTGAATCTCCAATCGAACAGCTTCATCGGGACAATTCCACCTTCCATTGGCCGTCTTACAAGGTTGACAATTTTTTCTTGCTGAAAATCAGTTCACTGGGTCTGTACCACCTAACTTGGGAAACCTTAAATCATTGTCTTGCACCTTAGCTATAACAGTTTCCAAGGGGGAATACCTGTTGAGCTTGGTAATTTGGGACAACTCGCCACTCTAAATCTTTCATCAAACAAATTTGGTGGGGGAATTCCTGAAACTTTGGGAAAATTTGAACATATACAGACCATTCAATTGGACCAAAATATTCTTACAGGAAACATCCCAAGCTCCTTCAGCAATCTATATACCTTGAGCATGCTCAATATTTCGCATAACAATCTGTCAGGCCGCTTGCCAGCTTTTATAAATGATTTGAAGACTATAACAAAACTAGATATATCTTACAATAATTTCCAAGGAGAAGTGCGAACAAATGGAGTATTTGCTAATGCTACCATTATTTCACTTGTTGATAATCTGGGACTGTGTGGAGGAGCCACGGATTTGCATCTTTGGTCATGCCATGTATTGAATAAAAAGGGTAGAGTGGTAAACTATTTAGTCAAAATTTTGATCCCAATATTTGGGTTCATGTCACTCGTATTACTCGTCTACTTTGTACTCCTTGAGAGGAAGAGGTCAAGAGCATATATGTTGTCAGAGCAATCTTTTGGTGAGCATTTTGAGAAAGTTACCTTTAGTGACCTAACTCAAGCAACACGGGACTTCTCAGAATCCAACCTGATTGGGAGAGGAAGCTATGGTTCAGTGTACAGAGGAAAGTTGAAGGAAAGCAAAATGGAAGTGGCAGTGAAGGTTTTTGATCTTGAGATGCGAGGTGCAGAAAGAAGCTTCGTGGCAGAGTGTGAAGCACTTAGAAGTATTCAGCATCGTAACCTTCTTCCAATCATAACTGCTTGCTCAACTGTAGATAATATAGGAAATGTTTTCAAAGCTTTAATTTATTAGCTCATGCCTAATGGAAGCCTGGACACATGGTTACATCACAAAGGGGACGAGGAGGCTCCAAAACGTCTAAGCTTGACCCAAAGAATAAGCATAGCTGTTAACATAGCTGATGCATTGGATTATTTGCACCACGATTGTGGACGTCCCACGGTTCACTGTGACTTGAAGCCTAGCAATATTCTTCTAGACGATGATATGAATGCTCTTCTGGGAGATTTTGGAATTGCACGTTTCTTTGCGGATCCTCAGTCAACATGGGCAGGTTCAATTAGTTCGATTGGTATGAAGGGCACAATTGGATACATCCCTCCAGGTAGTTATTTCGGTATTTTTTTATTGGGTACCTCAAATTTTCCTAGATGACAAATGTTTATAGCATAACTTCTTTGTGCACATTTTCTTGTTTAATTTAGAATATGGAAGTGGTGGGCATGTGTCAACGTCCAGAGATGTTTATAGTTTTGGGATAGTATTGCTGGAGATTTTGATAGGCAAAAGGCCGACAGATGCTATGTTCATGGACGGACTGGACATTATCAGCTTTGTGGAGAACAGCTTTCAGAGTCAAATATTTGACGTCATTGATGTTCATCTCGTGGAAGAATGCATGAACTTAACTCAAGACAAGAATGTACCAGAAAAGGAGATCAACAAATGCTTGCTGGATCTGGTGCAAGTAGCACTTTCTTGCACGCGTTCATTACCATCTGAACGTTCGAATATGAAGCAAATAGCCAGCGAAATGCATGCAATCAAGGTTTCACAATTGGGATGGATGACGTGTAAGAAGTAGGGGGTATGTGTAATTTGTTCAGTATACGGTGAACTGCGTAATGTGCTTCGGACAAGCATGCACTGTTATGACTAGTGTACCAGTATGGTTATCTTCTATTGATCGAAAAATAAAAGAAGCTGTCTATTGATCGCTCAGGTGCTCCCCCCACCTGAGGACTTTTTTTTAATCCAAAAGATCAAAATAAATCCTACAACCAGAGTGCACTGAGCGTAACTTAGTTGATTGGTTTTTATGGTGAATCCTACTCACCAGGTTTTAAGTCCTCGGCTCAATGTTGGCGCTCGCACTTCTTTGAATTTTTTCCAGCATCAATCTTGAGATGTATTGGCTTAGCCTCAATCTTTCGAAGATGTTCATAGGATTAATGTGTGTGCGTATGTTCATAGATGTGAGTTTGGTGTACTCCCTTTGTCCCTTATTAAGAGGTGGCTATGGTATTCATGCTAACTAGGTTTATAAAAATTATTAGCAACATATTTGTATCTCCAAATAAGTTTATTATAAAAATAGATTCAACCATCTATCTAATGATACTAATTATGTACCGTAAGTATTAATATTTTCTTTATATATTCAGTCAAAGTTAAATATATTTGACTTCTCAAAAAGGAAGAACGACAGCTAAAAAGGATGTATGGAGTATGTATGAGTGTCTACATCAATACTGTGATTTGCAAGCAGCAGCAGCAGCAGAAGAAGAAGAAGAAGAAGAAGAAGATCCAACGGCCAGAGTGCATCTTTTACCTCCGGTCAGTTTCTAACCTTCTTACTCTCCCTGTCAGCTGTTGGAAATCACATACATGTAACAACGTCATTAATGGTATATTAGAAACAGTATAGATACATAATATTAAATATACATATTACAAAATCTCAAAATCATAACAAAAAACATAGTGAAAACGTTTTTTTTTACAAAACCAAGCGGTAAAGCTTTATTGATCAAGAATTGTTACATCATTTGATAGAAGCTCAACAATAAAGCCAGGGGGATCATCGTCCCAAATACAATAATTTTTGGAAATCATAGCTCGCTTCGCCAATTCATGAGCCACTTGGTTTGTTTTCCTTCTGCAATGCTCGATGGAGATCTCCTGGAATCCTAACAGATTGCATTACTCTCATCATATATAGCCACTGCGGAGTTAGCTGTGGATCCACCATTGCCCATAATGTCAACCACCTCCATGCAATCGGATTAGATAATCACCCGGTTGCATCCTACATGTTGTGCTAACATCAATCCTTCTTTAAGAGCATATGCTTCGCCATAGGCGCATCAACCACATGGGAGATAAAATTATTTGAAGCTATCACCATGCCTCCTGAGCTGTCTCTGATGATGGCTCCCATACTCTCAATCCCATGTTCTTGTCAAACAAAACATCAACATTTAGCATCACCACATCTTCTGGTGGTTTTCTCCATCCTTGCCTGATCTTGACACCCTTCTTTACGGCCATTTTATAATTCTTTGTGAGAGTAACAATTGATAGGCCAGACCTTGATGGTCGTTGGATGCTTTCACCATGCACCCACTCCGTTCTTTCCTACCATAGATACCAGCCTCATGTTAGGATCAGTTCTGGAAATCCTACTCCCAATGCTTGAATTTGCTCTCCTCTACTAATACATTCTTCTAAGATGATGGAACCCGAGCGGTCAGTAAACAGGAGTTGTTCTATCTTCTCCCATACTCCTACCGATCTCTAAACAGCTCTTGCTCTGTCGCACATGAAAATTATATGCCTGATGTCTTCCACCCCGTTCTGGCACACTGGACAGCCAGACACGTTAGAGATGTGTCTGTTGGCCAGAATGGCTCGACATGGAATCAAGCCTTGAAGCACTCGCTAGCCAAAAATTTTGATCTTCCCCGGCACATCCAGCTTCCGAAGCCGCTTCCAAACTGCAGCATTACTCACACCGCCCCCCTGGTAGGCCATCACTTGCTGCCCAAATTTTCTTTTCCATTCACCATGGTATGCAGATTTGACCAGAGAAATACCATTCCTATTATATTGCCAGGCAACAAAATCTTCTCTCCCTGGTGTGGTTGATATTTGAAGAATCCGATTTGCATCAACAGCCCAAAAGATAGATCTCACTAGCTGTACATCCCAAGTTGAATCAATAGGGTTGATAAGTTGTGTTGTACCTATTCGATGTGAGCCAGCACAATTGGAGATGGTGACCTCTACACTGCCATGCACCACAGCAGACTTTCCTTGCACTTACTTGGGACTGCCAGTCTCAACTAGAAAAATAGGAAAGGCAGAATTGCTCAGATGGATAGAAAAGATCAGTGATAAACTCCCTGGTTGGCGAGCTGCACTCATGACCATGGCAGGAAGAGTTACCTGGGTAAGATTCGTTCTATCGGCCATTCCGGTTTATGTCTTGATAGCTATCAAGGTGCCAAAATGGTTTTTGCGTGCCATTGATAAGATAAGAAGAGCTTTTGTTTGGAAGGGAAGAGAGCAAGTGAGTGGTGGTGCTTGTCTGGTGGCTTGGGAAAAGGTCCAGTAACACCTTGATCTGGGAGGTCTGGGGATCCTTAACCTCGAGCTTATGAGTTGGGCTCTGCAAATCCGCTGGTTATGGCTCAAGAAGACAGACCCCAACCGGTCATGGGTTGGCCTCGATGACTTGCACATTCATCCAAATGAGGTGCCTCTCTTCAATATTGCTTTGGAATGTCAGGTCAAGGATGGTAGAAATACTTTATTTTGGAAGGATAAGTGGCTTATGGGCTGCTGTTTAGAAGATTTAGCTCCAGCGGTTGTTGCTACAGTGCCATCTCGAATTCGCAGGGAAGGAACGGTGGCTGACGCCCTTCAGGAGCACGTTTGGCCAGCCGATATCAGAGGGGGGCTTTCAATGGTGGGCCTCTTTGAATTCTTTCATTTATGGGATATTCTATATGAGGTGATTCTCTCTTTGGAGGCCGATGTCCATGTTTGGAGATTAGATGGGTCAGGCCAATTTTTTTTCAAAATCTGCTTATCGAGCGTTCTTCAATGGATCCATCTCCTTCGAGCCATGGCGACGTCTATGGAAATCCTGGGTGCCACCAAAGTGCAAGTTGTTCCTATGGTTAGCAATCTGGAACAGGTGCTGGACGACAAATAGATTAGCTAAGAGAGGTTTGCCTCACCCGAGCCGCTGCCCCTTGTGTGATCAGGAAGATGAGACTGTCCAACACCTACTTACTACGTGCGTTCTTGCTCGGGAATTCTGGTCACGCATCCTCACGCCTTTGGGACTGCGTGACCCAACTCCCACAAAAAGAGAGAGGTCATTGGAAACTTGGTGGCAGAAAGCAATCAAGAGAATTTCAATAAGAGAAGAAGAGAGGGTTGAACTCAATTATCATTCTAGGCTCCTTGACCCTTTGGAAGCACCGGAACGCCTGTGTTTTTTAAGGGTCTCGCCCCTGCATCACCAAGCTGCTTGATGAGTTCAGAGATGAGCACCATTTTTGGTGCCTGGCGGGAGCGCGTGGCCTGCGCACGCTGGGACTGGGTCACGGTGGTGAGCTTGGTTAGCCTACCTTGTTTAGGTCATTTAGGAGGTTTGTTTGTGGTCAGATCTCACCTCTATCACAGTTGTCTATTAGTTTCCTCCGAAGTAATGTAAACAACCCCTCACAGCCCGGCCCAGAGTGAGTGGCGGTGTTTGTAAGGGGCCGATCCATTTTCTCTCTTTAATACAATGATACGCAGCTCTCCTACGTATTCGAGAAAAAAAAAGTTCATCAACTGTTGTAATGATGTTGTTACCTCTGGGCGTTAAGATCTTCAAGTTGTGACTTCGAGGAATCTAATTGTCTTCCCATATATTAATTTGCGAGCGACCTCCAAACCTCTAAATAGGGTTGATAAGTTCATCAACTGTTGTAATGATGTTGTTACCTCTGGACGTTAAGATCTAAGTTGTGGTTTCCAGGAATCCAATTGTCCTCCCATATATTAATTCGACCCTCGAAAATATATGCGTGTTCGTGTGCGTCCGGACTTCGCCAGCTCTGCTCTGCAGGGGCCTCGACCTTCTCTTCAACAGTAGCTGCCGCCTGTCTCCTCAATGGCTATCGCAGTATCGCGTCCTCCTCTTCCCCTGCTCCCCAGATTTGTTGCGGGCCTCACTCCACATCTCACCTCGGTGGGAGTCCGGGCCGACACGGCGTCAACTGCGGAGACCGGCCCTTGCCACTCATGGGCGAGTGCGGCCACCTGTCATAAGGCTCCACGCTTCTCTCTCATCTCTCTTACCTCACCCATGGTGGCCGACGCTACCCGAGTTTTCAATCTTTTCCACTCCCAGTACTTGTTGTCGCAGTCATGGTGGCCGCTGCCTCCGTGGACGGTGGATCTGCACCAAGGACGAGCCAAGGCTCCGCCGCCGATTTGGGCGCCAGGAGAGAGGAGAGGTGTCGACCGCACCGCCGAAAATGCAAGCCGTCCGGGAGTCAGAGTCCGGTGATAGGTGGCCGGCTTGCAGCCGTTGAGCAGCTGGGCAAAGATATAGGTATGGCCATTCTTTGCCTTTTTTTTATTGATTTAGCCTGTGCAGTAGAGCAGCTTGGATCTGCTATAGATTGCTTGCTAATAGATTTGTAGCTGCGAATCTTCCTGCTCTCGTCTCTCTGGAAATTTAGTTACTTTGTGATTGGTTTCTTCAAAGTGTGGTGGTTTATTTAGTAAACGAGTAAGAATACAAAACGAGTTGTGTCCGCATTTTTTATTATGTTTCCATATATCTTCTAAAGTTTAGTCTCTGTCACATTAGATATTTAGACACTAATTTAGAGTATTAAACATAGACTAATTATAAAACTAATCGTATAGATTGAGACAAATTTACGAGACGAATCTATTAAGCCTAAATAGTCCATGATTTACAATGTAGTGCTAGAGTAAATATGTGTTAATGATGGAGTAATTAGGCTTAATAGATTCATCTTACGAATTAGTCACGGCTTCTCTAATTAATTTTAT